ATATTTGCAATAAAGAAAAGAAATGTAAAATTCTACGAGTGAGTGAATGCTTACGAATAGCGGTATATTTGAGAATTCAATGGGGAGGAAGGAATTTGGTTGCATGAAACGGTTCAATTCCGGCCCTGGTTTGGTCCCGCGACCTTGCGGTATGTGAGACGCGGTCTCTCTTCACACACATACACACACACACACACACACACACACACCACACACGCGCGCGCGCGCGCACGCACACGCACACATACGTGCCACGTGTAAGGAACGGATGACATCATCGCCGATGAAAGTGTACATAACTTCGTAATGCATCACACACTTTGCTTAACTACTGTATGTACTAGTAGTCGAGAGGCGACTGTTTAGTTGCAGTTTGGGATTTTTCTTGCTGCTTGAATAAGCAACATTGCCCGCCAGAAATTTTTAGCATACCCAGAAATCTCTTCCAAAGGCCATGGTATCTAATAGGTATTTAATTTGAGAAAAACCTCTGTTGAAATAAAATCAAGGAAGAAGTAAGAGTGTTTTTATTTGCTTGTATTTTGCAAATTTTTTTTTAAGTGGTTACATAGAGGCTTGGTTACATTAGAGTTTTTCTTCATGTTCAAATAAGCAACGTCAAATGCCTTCCAAAAATTTCATAATCCACTCAAATATCTCTTCTAGAAACAAAATGGTATTTAATGGATATTTAATTTGAAAAATCTCTGTTGAAATGAAATCAAAAAAGAAACAAGAGTGTTTGTTTACCTATGTTTGTTTTTGAAATTTTTTTCTTGAATATCTAATATCTTTTATCTAATCAAAAATCCATTTATTAATACAAGATTACATAATTAATCGTAAAATGCGTTTGAATTATATATATCGTTTTTATGATAAAATTTTCAAAAATTAAATGAAATGACTAAGAAATCTGGCATTTGAGTGCTAGTTTTTTTTTTTTTCCTTTTGAAATACGCATTTCATAGCTCGGGCGCATTCAGCGAATTCCTATTTCCGGCCTACAATTGCGATTCGTATCTCTCTCTCTTTCTCGCGGATTCCAATTACAGATACGTGCGAGGACATTATCGAGACGTTCATTGACAACGTAGTAGGTGAGGTAATAGTTTACGGGGTCACATTCAAACGGGATCGATAGAGCCTCGGAAAAGTTGAAGGCAACTTTTAAGAGGGACTGACAGCATGACGAAACCGGATGATACATTTCGAAAAAGGCATGAGTCATGAACGCTTTTTCGATATTCGAGATTTGTAATCTTGACTCGCATTGCATACCAGAAAGACATGTCTCTCGCGATGATAAAAGCGTTTGTTTACATTATGCTTCATAATGAATAAAATGAAGAGCATTGTCTCTGAAAAGTTACTCTTAACCAATATCAGATTTATGGGCTGGAATATACGTAATATAAGCTCTACATTATATGTATATATATATATATATATATATATATATATATTATTATATGGTAATTTAAATTAATTTAAATTAAAATTAATTTTTATTAATTTTATAATTCTAAAGAATTATAGATTTTTAAAAGAATCTAATTTATATATTATAATTTATTGGAAAATGTAGGATTTAGACAATAATACATTTAGAATTTAATTATTAGTGTTTTAAATTTAGAATTCAAAATGTCTTTGAAGAATTTTTTGAATGATTTGAATATTTTTTTTAAATATCTGTACAAATAATTCTACATCTACAGTATCATAATATTGACTTTGGACCCGAATGCGGGCGAGTGACATCTGTAAAAATTGTGGCGATAAAAAATCGAGGCCGAAACGAACGTACGAGGAAACTGTCAATTGGGCTTCATAAAACTTTCATTCAAGGCTATTAAAAAGTAGTACGATCCGATATAATGTTCACGTGGGGTACGTTTAGTGACGTAGACGGTCGGTGATTTCGTCTTGCTCTGGCGATTCGCGAGATGCAATGGAATTCCGTTATAATTCCAGAGCAAAAATAGTATCTAAAATAAAAGAAGAAAGAGGAATAGATTTTATAGAAGTTTCTCGAGTTTCTCACCTCGTTTACTTGTCACGAATGTTTTATTCTATTTATTAAACGTACAATTTTATTTATATACATGTCTCTTTTGCTGTTTATATGTATATTAAATCTATTATAATGTAACAATTTTAATAAAATACAAATTTAATTTTAGTACAATACTTTTATGTAGGATTGAATGTTTTGATGGTGAGCAACTAAATTTAAGTATATATTACAAAATAAAGTCTTTTTCTAATCAGTTAGCTGCGTGACAAGATACTGATAATGGTCATTGCATTCATTTTTAGGTGTTTTATAGCGATAATTTAAGTGTCGCTGAATTTTATAGTAATATTTTCTTTAGGATGAATTAATCTTTTATAACAAAATTTGACGATTTTATATTTAAAACCTATATATTGAAAACCTATAACTAATCGGGTAATAGGAAATATGGAAAAGCACAAATAAGGAGAAAATATCATTAAAACGCAATTAATAAACTCTAATTTATAAATTTAATCTTCCAAATTTTATTTTAGATTTAAAATTTTAGTTTTAAATATCTTACGCATATTTACTATAAAAATGTCATTTGAAAAAATGCAGTTTGTGTTTTTATTTTAGTTGTGATATTAAGACATAGATTACGATTTGCAAAGGCAAATATTAAATATAAATCTAGAATAAAAAAATTATTTTAATCTAATTAGATATGATATTTCTAATTAATTAAAACAAGAATATACGATTAAAAATATTGAAAATTTTGAATATTAAATATAAATTTAAAATAAAATTGCAAGAATTGCAACATCTTCTTACACTACATTTTTTTAAATTACTTATTTATTAATTATATGTTTTTTACTATTTCTAGTTGAAACAAGAAATACCATTATGTGATATGTAATTCCAAAAATTGTCGTGTCAATAATTTGTCTGACTGATAAGATGTGATAAAAATCGAATAAAAAATAAGGTAAGGATTTCTATTTCGTTAACTATTTCAAAACAATATTTTTTTAAAATAAAAGTTACTTATATTCAAGGCGAGAAAATTCGCATTTTCATGAATAATCAAGGAAATTTCCAATTGTCGTTTGTTATGTATTTAGAAACTACGCTGCTATCGATTTAGGCAAAGCAGATCGCGGAAACAAAGGATAGTTATCAATGAAGAGAGAGAAAGTGTTATCTGCCAGGTCTTCTTGTTTCTCATATGCTGTACACATGCACGCTAATTATGCACATGTACGCATTACAATGACCTTTACAAGACAAATACCGCGGGCGATGATACGTGCGGACGATGACCCAACAATTTCAACATAAACAGTATCATATGCAAGCTGTATGGCATCATAGCATGTGAACTAGTCAACTTCTGTCATCAGCCGACTCGTTCTAGAACTAATACTTTCTCCTCGGATTTCCTCCGTCGGTAGGAGAGGTGCAAATGCATATGCCTTTCAATATTATTTTTTGTTTATACAGTTGTATGTCCAATAATTATTAACACAGCGCTCGTGTGTAAGTGAAGCAGACTAAACTGAGTAGAAAAATCTTCCATAATAAATATGGCGTTCAATATGTTGAATAATCACAATAATAAATCATAATCACTGATCTAAAGTCTTAAAGAAGCTGTCATTGGCTTTAAAAAAGAATTTTTTAGATTTTTTTTTAAATCCAATAACATTCAAGATTAGACAAAATTTGTTTTTGATTTATCATAATTTAAATGTATATTTTGTATATTAATTCTTAATTTTTAATCTATATATTTATTTCTCAACCTAAAGAGTGAATTCTTTATTTCTTATATTCTTTCTACTTTATCAATCTTTTATAATATTTTTATATTTTTATTTTAATATACCTTCTGCCATCACTTTTCTCCTTTCCTCCATTTTCGAGATAATCTCATGCGGTACACTTTACTTAAGAGTTTGTGTCAATGACCCTACCTATCTCGCTTGCTTTATTGCAGGAGGGACAAGGGTAAGCCGGAAGTGAAAGAATGGATGATCAAAAGTACCAGCCACAATATCCATTGCCGGGGGCGGGAATGCAGTCGCCGATCGCAACAGCACCACCGCCAATAGATGCCCCAATGTCGACAGGTAAAAAATCAGATTCTCCTTTATCCCAAAGCTATTCGAGATTTAAATTAACCGACACTTGTAGATCCAACATACAAAATCCAAAATCCAAAGTAACACATGAGATGACTTGCAAATTTCTGTGGATCAATGCATCCAGTAGAGCGACCGCTCACTGAGCGGCTAGAAAACGACTATTCAAGATCGCTTAAAAAGCGGTCTTTTGTGTAGGATATATTCTCACAACTTTCACAATTCGTCATCTAAGCTGGATTCCGAAAAGCGCTTATGCGCGCATTTATCTATAATTCATGTCACATATACTATAACAAAATGCGCGCATATGCACTTTACGGAATCCGGCTCTAATATATAAAGGTCAAAAATATATTCATTTTCTCAGGAAAAAAATCTTTTTGGCTTTTTCTTGATGCTCAAGAATATAATGGGTGGGATTTTTAACATACTGTATTTTCACTGAAGGTAACGCGAAGTTGAACTGAAATGTATAAATTGTATTTTGTAATGAAATAGATTTAATTTTACGTTTTTTCACTAACCGTGCTTTAACTCTTGTTTGTCGAATTATTTTTTTTTTCTTTAATTTTTAAATATCGGAAGTCTTTAATATTAATTAATAATTAATATATTGATTAAATTATTTTACGTACATATATTAAATTTATACGTTTATATTTTATTAAATTATATAGTATAATTAAACTATATGATTATTTAATTTATCATTTCCTATTTTTTATATCTTTTTTAGATATCTGCTATTTCTATTACATTGTAGATGATATCATCAAATATTGATTTGTTGCTGATTTGATTGCTCACTGTGAATAGAATTTTTAGATGTTTACATCTGATACATAAATAAAGGACCTAATTAACATCTATTGAGCGGTTGCGTTATTGGATGCATTTAACGTTTTACTTCTGTAACGATCAAAAGAAATGCACGAAAATTTGTGGAGGATTGAAATGAAAGTCTAGGTAGAATTTTTTTTTTATTTCTTATTCTTGGGATGATAATAATATTGGCATTCGAAATATGACTTGAAATATAACTTAGAAAAATATATAGATACGTTTTATATTATTTTCTGATTCTACTGCTATTTTAATAATAGAATTTTATTTGTACACGAATATGTTTTAACTTTAATTAAATTATTAATGCTTGACTAGATTAGACTTTTCGTTGTAATTATGGCTGAAGCGTAAGCAAGAAAATAAAAATCCATTTAACTCAATGATATTTAAGGTCAGCCACGGCGACAGCGTTAATTTGGCCTGATTATCGTGTTTCTCTACTCTTTTCTCGTCGTCTTGAATCTAGATGAGGAAGAAGAAAATTTAGTTGACCCGGTAATTCTTCGGAGCAGTTGCACTCAGGGTTTACTTAGCAGAATTAGCATTTCCTGGCGCCCTTTTTAGACCATTGATAAGTTAATATAGCGTTTTCGAATGCAATTTGAATTCCAAAATTGATTTAACTAAATATGCATCGGATTGAATTGAAAATATGTATAAAAGAAATATAATGAAATATCTGTTAATAATTATTTATTAATTTTATTATAATATTATTAATAAATCTGTAAAATAATTTTGTAACATTATATCTTAAATATATCTTTCTTAAATATTAAGCGTATAACAGTTTAAAAATGATAATCAATTTGATTATATTTATAATAACTCGAAATAGATTACATGACGTCATAATGATGTCAATTTGAAGGCATTATAATCGACAAAAATTGATAGAAAACTACCTTTTTTAGAAGAAGTTAATAAATTAATTAAGGATATTAATTACGAGTAATAGGGTGATCTTAAGGGATTATATGCAGTTGTATAACCCAAAAAAACGCAATTTTGGAGAATTTTTTTTAGAAACACTCAAAGATATTTTTTCGCAGGTAATATAGTATATATATATAGTATATATAGTATATATACTTAAAAATACATATATTTTACAATTTATACAAATTTTTTCAAGATATAATGTTGAAAAACACGAATAACAGGCATTCTTGCGAAAGATGTTTTTTTGAAAATGCTTTGCGGTGAGCACAATTTCTCGAAACTGGATCATATGAAATAAAAAATTCAAAAAGATTTTGTTAGTATCTAGCTTTAATCTTGTCCTTGAACGATTTTTATATGACTAAATTTTTTGTTAATTAAAAGCAAAAATTTCATTAAAAAAAAATCAATCGTTCAAGGACAAGTATTTAATGTAATGTAATGTAATGTATAAAAGAAGTCTGTAAAATTTTCGCTCGATTGATGCAACGGTTTCCGAGATATCTTAACGATTCGTATATTTGAAAAAATTTGATTTCAAGAAAAACGCAATTGAAGTTTCAGATTAAATTCTCATGTAAATAAAATTACTATTTTTCAACTTACACAGAATCATCTATTTCAGGTCCATTAGGTAAATCTTCTGCGTCAGAAGCTATCTCCAAAATATCAATTTACATAGAAGGAACTATCTTGCCTCGGCAGTTACCTGCACTAAGTACTTTGTGCAACGTACTCTTCAAACTCGTATATCTTCAATAATTTTTATTCAAATCACTTCAAACTCTCAGAAAATATTTTTTAAATGATATAGTTTACGAAAATAAATATTTTCAAAAATCGATTTTTTTCAACCTATACAACTGCATATAACTCCTTAAGACATCGTCGAACAAATTTTTTATTTTCAAATATACAGAAAATAAATGCTATGTATAGGTAATTATTGAAAATTTCTGCTTATCGTCGAAAATATTTGTTTACTTTTTCGAAGACATTTATAGTTTTCATTACAAAGTGCGATAGTGCGTCATCGCCAACTGTCAAATTATAACTATCTAATTTCTCCATGATATGTTTTCTATATATATTATTTTAAATAGATACATCATTCGTACAACAATACATATAAAGTTTGGACACTGTTCGGCAAATTTTGCTTTATCTTGTTATCTTTAAATGTTTATATCAGTAATAAATTATTTTAATTTAAATTATAAATTATAAAAGAAAAATATAATTATTTAAAATTTTAGAAATATAAAACTAAAGTTTTTCAAGTAAAAGTTTAGACTTCTATCTATCATTTCCAGATAACAATCATTTTTAGTGAAATGGTTTTTTGAAGGTTTTTAAATCCTCAATATGGGCACCTAAATGATCCCTTGAGTCTCTCGAAATAAAAAGCTTCAAGATTAAAATAAGTTAAATTATTTTGATAATTATTATTTGACAATTATTAAAACCAAAAAGATATTTTTATAGAAATTTCAATATTTTCATTAAAATAATGAAATTGCTTGAATAATATAATAAAATTGCTTAAGTTAAAAGCGAGACTATTTTTTCCAAAATATTTCTTTTATATAAATTTATTTATTATTTGAAAAGTCAAACATTGAATAATTTATAAATTTTCGAAAATCCAAAGAAATTTATTCAAGTTATTTAACTCTGAGACTCATTGTTTCACTTTCCAAGTAATAAATATATTTATATAAAAGAAATATTTTGAAAAAAAAAGAAATCTAAGAACTTGTTTCTCTTCGTGTACAAATGTATGTGTAATTTATATTGTTACTGTACATTTTTAAAATTATTGCACAACATTAATTTGCACATTTAAACATGCTATTAGCACGGAAAGCACCTATTTCGCCTTCGTGCTATCGCTCAATTACAATGTGCTCGGGGAACATTCATGATCGGCAATGGTAATTAAAATATTGCTTATATCATATTATTGCGATTGGCCACGAGAAATTCGAACTATGTGTATGTTATTTTGTCTCGATCATGCGGTTATGCAGAAGGACAACCCACGGACGATATGTCCCTGCAATAGTTGGTCAATGTTTGTCGAGAGCGACGATCAGTATAAAGTAGATAATAACCGCCTTCAGTAGTCACCATGTGCCCTCGTGTAGACCATTACGTTTGTTATCACTTATATTCATATAATGAATATAACGACGACTTTTCGACTTTAATATATCGCGTTCGCCATTGCTTATCATTGTTCTTCGAGATATAAGATAAAATGATTATTCTACCTGTGTTTCTGTGTTTAAATCGTGAAATATTCCGATAAGCACCGACGTGACAGTGCGACAGTGCGCGATTATTCAGATTCCATCAGTGTATTATTTGCCTCTTACCTACGTAGTTGGTGATATCTGGTGATAAGAACACGAGGAGAAGAAGAGGAGAAAATGGAAGAAGAGAGAGAGAGTTGAATTCAAAAATTGAGTAAATAAGAAACCGAAAGCACCGAAGAGAATAACAAACAGAGAATTTTGATATATTGAATTTAAAGAAATAATCAACAGCTCGAGCTTTAGAAATCTCTCTTCCCTCCCCCTCCTCTCTTCTTTTTCCTTTCTCGCTGTTCCTCTCCTCTGCTGAAATTCCCGAGTTGAATAGTCCTCAAATTTCTTGAAGTGTTAAATTCATGAAAATATTGGAAGCAGATTGTGAATTTTTGTGTAAACAATATTAATTTTCTCGGCGTGAAGAACAACTGTGTTGGCAGGAGATAATAATTACAATTTGCGATGTGGCTTTCGCAAATGTGTGTATATCGCGTTATTGTCTCGTATTTATCTCCCAAATGATAAATGAAAAAAAAGGATGAAAATTCCAAGCCGGAGGAAATAAGACTCGCGGAAAAAGTTTTATCTCTCGCGTCTTCGACGAGGGTCGAAAACGCAGTAAAGTAATTGCGATAACTCGCAAACGTTGTTGGAAAACGGCGCGCATCGGCGCAACAGTTATTCTTGTAAGATCTAATTAATCACAATAGGAAATGACGGATAACAGTAATAAAAATTTCGGAAGCTGAGTTTGATCTAATGCAAAGGAAAATTTGAAATCAGAGTGATGAAAGTTTTAAATAAAAATTTAATAATAATGAAATTATTAAAAAAAAATGGCAATAATTTGAAAGAAATAGTTCTGAAGATATTCAGCTAAAATAATCAATGTCAATCCTTGATTACACAGATTTAAGATCCATAAATAATTCTGAGATTAACAATCGTGATAACAGCCGCGATTAGGCACGATAGCGAAATTTTTAATTTTAGTTTCTATAGCGATAAGAGCACTTCAATTTCAGTCGGTTTCTCGGGACAAGTGTGTGTGTGTGTGTGTGTGTGTGTGTGTGTTTTGTGTAAAAAAAGTACGATATATTTACGATATATTGATGTACAATATGCGGCGTTCTATGCGTACGACGGAATCCCTATACTTCGAGACTTCGTGGAAAGTCAAACTAGAACAGATCCGGAGACAACTGCGAACACTCTTCCGAAACACATTGGGACGTTATTGCAAGTCGAAGAACAAGAGCTATACCAGATTTCTGACGGAGGAAGAACAGAGGTGCAGAATCTTTTCTGCAATTCGCGCATTTCGCAATTTATTATCTATTTCTTATTAAAACGTCGCCCGAAAACTCTACAACTTTGTCTCGAAATAACTTTTTCTCGAAAATGCTTTATTTCCAAAATAATTGACTGTATCATTTAAGATGAAACGTTCTGTGTAAAAGTATAAATAGTAAAATTAATGTATTTTACGATTCTATAAATTTATATTTGATTTTTTTTCTTATCTTGATTGATTATTCTTTATCTGTGTGAACATTTTTTATCGCACTCTTATTTGTACACAGATTCTAAAGAATTTATATTAATATTTACATAAATAATAATAAGTAACGTTGAATTAATATTTTTGCTTAACTGGATTATTTTTATCTTGGATTCTTTCAGGTGGCTGGCAGCCGCCGAGTATGATATATCCACACGGCTTGGAATCCCTTATCAACCTTGATTATCTTTTTGTCAACCAGAAAATTGAATTGCTTGAAGGTAAGCACACGTCTTTGTCGAGAAATATATCTTTTTGAGAGTACGCGTGAATAGATATATTTCAGAAACCGCAGATTTGCTTCGTGATATATTATGATTTTTTTCTTTTTATATCGCAAAAAATAAACGCATAATTTTGAATGTAACTATATAATTGTAAGATTGCAATTAATATAAAATTATTATCAAGTTATTAAGTTATTTTGTCTAAGTATTGTATTTTAAATTATTATCAAGTTATTAAGTATTTTGTCTAAGTATGAAACAAAATAGGTATTTTTGAATTTGGAATAAAAACTAATTAAAAACCTAATTTTTTATGATAAAAAATTGCTTTTATCAAAATAATAAAAACAAGATATAATATTTATTTTTCTTGATATTTATATCACTAAAATATTTGGTATCTATATTATTCCGATATTATTTAATATTTTTGTATATTTATAATTTTAGTTAAAGTCAACTCATTTAAAATGAATTTTAAGTGAAATTAAGTTAAAAGTTGTTAGCTCTTTAATTTTATTATTTAACTTGTAACTGATTAACTAGTTGCTATCCAATTTTGTTCGTTATTATATATATATAAAATCGTATTTCTTATTTCATCTTGCGTGATAAATATTTATGAAATTACATTATGATTTAATATAATTATAGGAATTTGTAGATTTTCTTATCACTTGATGAATATAATATTATCTTGCTTTACATATTTACTTTATTTCTTGTATTATGTTATATGCTACTTTATGTTTTATGTATTAAGCATGTTATTATATATTTTACTTACATTTTACTTTAAGTCTGTTATTTTTGTTAGCATTTACCGGATGGGAAACCAAGAACAAGTACGTTATTATGAATAATAAGGGTGAACCGGTGTTTTACATGGCCGAGGACTCGGGGGTCTGTTGGCGATTGTGCTTGGGAAAGTATCGCGCATGCGAATTCAACATCTTCGACAAAAATCAGCAACAGGTTCTTCGAATGGTTCGACCCTTCAGATGTGATGGTTGCTGTTGTCCTTGCTATTTGCAGGTAGTTTTGTTTGGAGTTTTTTCTTTTAACGTGTTTATTATGTATCATTATTCTTTATGTATTTTTTTTCTTAGAAATTAAAAAGGAAATATTCCTTTCTTCGAAGAATTCAAATCTTCTCTTTAAATACAAAAAATTAATAATGTGTTTATAATTAACTTTTTAACTTTGTCAAACATTTTAAAATATTTAATATATTAAATAAGATTTTCAGAATAAGAATAAAAATTATAAATTTGTCAAATTAAAGCAATCTTTAATTCCAGCAGCCTATATTTTAATTTATTAATAATTCAAAATTTTTAATATTGTACTTTAAAAAATAATAATTCTTAAAATAGTAAAATAAATTCTTTTTTTTTATTTAATTGAATTTTATTTAATTATCATTATATTATTTATAACAATGAATTTATTAAATACTCTGGCAATTATATAATAAAATGATATTTATATAGATAATTTTTTTTCTCTCATTTTCTCTTTATTTTAGGTTATTAATATATTATAATTTGGAAAAAGATTGCAAGGATAAGAAATAAGTAAGAATAAGAAATGATAGCAAGTAAAGGTAGTAAGTTACTAAAATTTAGCAGCGAAATGAGAGTTACTGTTTGTACGCGTTTACCAAAGTTTCTTTACACGTGCAGGCCATCTGTCAGGTTTATCTCTGACGAAAGTTTGTATCGTCGGAAGATCCGATCAATGTTCTTGAAACAGATAATGTTGATTTGATATTTATTTCAAGAAATAATTTACTTATTTATTTATGAATATATTCGACAAAATCTAATAAAAATAAAGTATATAATTATTTATAGTTATAAGTATACATTGCTTATAAATAATTCTTATCCAAATTCGCGTTGCAATTCTTAATTTTAGATCCCAATTAAATGGAACGAATAAATTCTTACTTATATTGCTCATGTAAAACTTCAAATAAAGAATATCAATAAATTTTATTTTTAATGTGTTTAGTTATAATCAATTTTTGATTGGTAAACGATTGAAATTAACTTTTGCAGGTTTTAGAAGTATATTCCGGAAATATTCTATTGGGCAGTGTTACTCAAGAGTGGAGTTTCTGGCGACCAAAGTTTTATATTCGTGATGCATCCGGCCAACCAGTGTTGATGATAAAAGGCCCGCTTATTCGTTTCTGTATTGACGTAATCTTTAAGGTATTACATTCCAAATTCTGTCAAATTTATACTCACATTTAGAATATTTCATTATTATTATTACATATAGCATTAATGTTTTTTATTCTTTTAATATCTCAAAATTTTAAAGAATTCTTAAAACTAAAATGCGCAAAACTCAATAATGAATTGTAAGAAATGATATTGTAATATCGCTAAGCTTGGCAATTTTGTTACAGAAAAAGTATTAGAATCTTCAGAATCATTCGTATTAATGATCAAATCCGCAGGTCAAATCTCTAGATGATGAGCATCGCCTTGGCATGATCCGAAAGCAGTGGAGTGGCTTTGCTCAAGAATTTTTTACTGTTTCCGATAAGTTTGGGATTAATTTTCCGCGCGATCTTGATGTGAAGATAAAGGCTGTTTTACTGGGAGCATGTCTGCTAATAGTGAGTACTATCAAAATATTATAAGTGACTGATTATTGAAAAAAAGAAATACAAAGAAAGAAAATTGTGAAAAAAGAATATTGCATTTATATTTCTAATATTAATATAAGCATGGTTGATTGACAAATTTAATTTAAAAAATTAAATTACGAAGAGAAATTTATATTTCTAATTCTGTTAGGTGTACAAATTAATTCTCGGTCTCTATCTTTTTTCATCGACTATAGAACCTTTTCAAATTGGAATTTTTTTCCCGCTAGATAGTCATTTTAAAATGCCATCTTTTAGCTTTAAAATGAGGTATAATACTTTATTCTATTGTGAACCTGAAAAATCAATTGTATACGTAATGTTCGAAGAGCAACATTTGAGGCACTGTGCCTTCTTTTCGCGTTTCAACTTAAAAAAAAACACAGCTGTGGCGAAAGAAATGATTTGTTCGACTTTGGGTGAAAACGCTATATCGTACAACACGTGTAAAAAATGGTTCTAATAGTTTCGAGAGCGAAATTTCAACCTTCAAGATGGTGAACGTCCTGATCAATTAAAAAAAGTGGAAGACGAAGAGTTGGAGCAAATTTTGGATGAGAATTCTTGCCAAATTCAACTGGAACTTGCAAATGAACTTGGAGTGACACAGCAAGTTATTTCCTATCGCATACAAAAGCTGGGAAGGATTCGCAAGAAATCCTGGTGGGTCCCTCATAAGCTCATTCCTGAACACAAAATCAGATGCCACGATACTGTTCCCTTTATGTTCTCTTGATTCAAGAAAAAGAATTTTTTGCACAACATTATAACTTGTGATGAAAAGTGGATATTGTACGACAATCTTAAGAGGCGAAAATCATGAGTCCGTCCAGGTGAGCCATCTATGAGCATAGCAAAAACGGTGTTGCTATATATATTAGTGGGGTCAGAAGAGCGTAATCCACTATGAGATGCTCCTACTTCAGATCGTTACTTCTGAGCTCTATTAACAACAATTAATCTGTGCGAATGGCGAAGAAAAAAGACCTTTTACTAGCAGTGGGAGAAGGCCAGTGATACTGCTGCAGAATAACGCCCGGCTCTACAAAGCAAAAAAGACTATGGAAATCATCTCAGACTTAGGCTGGGAAATTCTCCCTCATGTAGTCTCCAGACTTGGTCCCTTCTGATTATCGCCTATTTCGATCCCTACACCATCACTTCACCAATTCCCAATTCAAGTCAGTTCAACAGATCCAAAAAAGCTTTGATGAATTCATTGAATCAAAATCACCATTTTTCCGATCTGGAAATTCAACAATTACTTGAGAGATGGCAAAAATGTATAAAAACCGAAGAAGATTACTTTGAAAATTGAGTTAGAATTAATTTTTTCATAAATAAATGTCAAATTTGATCAAAAAGGGCCAAGAATTAATTTGTACACTTAATAAAAGTCAAATTTTTATTCATTTGAATACAATTTAATTTTTAATATACAGTACGTTGATGTCTATCTTTTAATGTTTTAGGACTTCATGTATTTCGAGCAGGAGGCTTGACAAATAATTGACAAAATCGATCTACTTGTTGTTCTTGCTCTTGTGAATGTGTTTCTTGCTTTTGTGAATGTGATGAATGTGATGTAATGGATTCAATAGATGCAGTTTAAATTTATTGAAGATCACACAAGAGAAGATTCGCATGTTGCGAAAAAAATTTGCTATTTTATCTTCTTCGTGAATCACGACAGAAAGCATTAAAACAATACAATGACAATGAGTGACTACACGATTATAGAATACGCTAAATTTAAAAAGTATTGTACACTGATTTTTAAAAAAAGCTATGAACATTTTTCTAACTCACTCTATTAAACATATTTTATAGTGTGTTTAATGCTTTAAAAGATATTTAATAACTTTAATAACTTTAATAATTTTAATTAAGAAATGCAATACAAAGACGAGTCCCATATGTCCACTCCAGAGGATGGAATCTTATGAATTACGAAGTATAAGATTGTAATTATAATCATATTAATAATAGATATAATTATTAATATTTTTAGATTTAAGCTATTTTAAGATTTAATTATTACGCTATTATGCTATTTTTTAATCGTTTTAACAAATAATTTCTGTTACTTTTATACATATACATAACTTTTATACATAACTAAAAAAATGTATTTAAATATACTTAACATTGAGCTTAACACTCGCGATAATCTAACTGAATACTTGTATTCAT